GAGGGGGGAGAGGGAGGAGGGAGGGAGGTTTCTGTGATGGGACATAATAATCAACTACATTATACATTGACAAAATAAAAATAATAAACAAATAAAAGAATAGTATTAAAAGTTACGAGGCAATAAAAAAATAGTGAAGGCAAAGAGGTTGATTTTGTTTGTTTTAGTAACATACATTTGATTATGTTTTTTAATTTGGAACTAGAACTTTTAATTTTCAAAATTGGCAGGTAGGAAAAGTAATTTCTATAAATCCAAATTATGTTCATTAATTTCATCTAATGCTCTGTATTAATCACAAATTTTTTTTTCATCTATAGATTGTCCCTCCTTAACTAGACTGAGGGTTCTCTAAAAGCAGCGACCGTACTACCAAAATGAAAACAGAAACTCACTAAAGGCATCACATCCGAAGAACCTTACACTATGGATATACCATGTTATTAATTTTCAAACTTCTTGCAGAGATAACTCTCCCCTAAATAAAATTATACCATTACATAAATCTAGGTTTTAGAAATATAAATATTTATATTAACATACAGATGAGTTAGACTAAGTGGTGATCAAGGATATGTTCACAAACTGTGAAGAGTAAGAGTAAAAGAACAATATAAGATCTTATAGCTACAAGAATTTGAAAACAGGATAGCTGATTGGGGGAAGGGGTCTTACAATACACAGAAAGATCACTTAAAGTAAAAGAATAAAAGGTTAAAATACAAGAAACCCAAATGAGTTGATATGGGGGCATGTGCCAAGAAAACAATCTAAGGAGACATTTGTGAGTGGGAAACTTAATACATGATAAATATAATTAATTAAACATTTTAAATTTCCATACATTATAAAAGAAACCATAAATAAAAATAAAAGGAGAGAAATATTTGCAACACATTCAATAATGACATATCTTCATTGGTTCAAACCCGTACATTAACCAATCTCCTAGAATTTGCTACTTGGTTGACACAAATGCACTTCAGAATAATCATACCCAAAGTCAACTGATTAACTTCCCCATTCCAAATTATCAAGACCACGAACACTATCATCCACGGAAGAAAACTATAAACCTAGGCATCACCTTGACACTTCTTTTCCCCTCACCTCTTATAATCTTTCTTCCTAAAAATCTCTCAAACTCATCCACATTTCTTTATATCCACTATTAACCCTTGATCCAAGCTATCATAATCTCTTACATGGAATACTACACCAGCCTACAATAATGGTTCTCAAATCCATTCTTACCCCTTATCCACTGTCGATACTTTAGCCAGAATAATATTTTCAGAATGCAAATCTAATCATCTCACTCCAATTTACCCCAATCCCACTTGGAACACACTCCATTCAGCCCACTGCTCAAAAGGTCAAATGGGTCCTACTTTTCCATTCTTACTTCCTACCTTTCCTGCCTAGCTTTCTATGTTCTATGTTCTGTCAACTCTGGACTTCTTTAAATTCTCTAAAAAGACTATGTTCCCTTTAATCATGTGACGTTACTTCAAAAAGGTCATGGAAAAATAGAATTAAAAGGTAATATGAATAGTTTCATGAACTTTTTGAAGTCCTCTCGTAGATTTTGCTCATGGTGTTTACTCTGTCTGGAACACTTGCTGATGAATTAAGAGAGCTGAAAGGTCATGAATGACTTACAAGTTTTTAGCCAGCACACCTAGATGGACAGTAGAGCCATTTAATGAAAATTTTTAAGCACTAAATTATCTTCTGTTATTGACTCCTCACTATTATTCTTCAAACACTTCAGACATAAAAGCCCTTGCACTACTGTCTTTATGCTTTAAAATGATCATTTAATTGATATTTGCATAAGTGGTGACTTCTTGATAATGCTGATCTCAGAATGCCACTTCTGATTAACACCTTATTGCCCTAATCTATCACTCTATTTTAATTGTCTACATTGTATTATCACTGCCTGATATTCTTGTTTATTTTTTATTGGGTATCTCCCCCAATTAAAATATAAATATCTGAGAGCAAAGAAATTATCGGTCTTGTTCATTGTTGTATTCTCACTGTTAACATGTAATCAGTGTTCAAAAATACTGAATGAATAAATAAATAATTCAGAGCCAGCATTCTGTGCCTGAAATAAAGTGGATTGTCACCAAAAATTCAAGCTATGTTAAAATACATCAACAGATCATGGGAACTGATAATTAGGCAATTGAATAAGCTGTAAACTTTTTTTCAAAAAGTAACAGCAAAACGGTGTACTCCAAATCAATGTTTATAATATTAATAGACATTATAGATGGCACTATGGAATAGTGGCTAAAAACATGGTCTCCAGAGTCAGACTGTCTGGGTTTGAATACAAGCTCCACCTCTTACTGTGTGATATTGGGCTAGTTACCTAACCTCTCTGAAGTTCAGTTCCCCAGACTATAAAGTAAATATAATAATAACACCTACCTTTATAGGGTTGCAGTGAGACAGTATATCTGAAGTACACAGAACAATGCCTGATACATACAGAGCAATCAATAGATGTTACCTGTTGTCTTCTCATTGCAAAGAGCTGTTGTCTTCTTATTGCAAAGAGCATTCACAAAAGTAAGTTCAATGTTAGAGAATATGGCAATTTGAAGGGGCTACTTCCATGTGTCTTTAAAGAACATATACAGTCCCAATGGGTGATTCCAAAGATATACACATACGTTGATTTTAAAGCAGTAAAGCACTGAATAGTATATAGATAATCAGCTTTAAGTAGGAACTTCTTTTGGGCTTCTTACATACCGAGTGGGTACGGAGCGCTGCGATGGTTTTTGAAAGTGCCATTTCCCATAGTTCATCAATGTAGAGAGCATTGTGATGGTTTTTGAAAGTGCCTTTTCCCACAGTTCATCAATGTAGGCTCTATTTACTAAGCCCTGGGTTGTGTGTAAAATGTGATCTTCAACCACAAAAAAGCTAAGATTGAGGGAAAAAGAAAGCACAGCTGTGAGAAATTATAGTTTGATTACTATCTCTATTTGACAAACATTAAGAGCTGTCACTGAATTTAAAGTTAATAGTAATTTTTTCCTTTAAAAAGGCTGCTCAGTATCATTAAAAAAAACACACTTCCTGGGCTAAGAATTTTGTCTGTGATCATGATATCTTCTTAACCACTTCTACTGAGATTGGAGTTACATTTCTATTAAATGTTATCATTTTATCCAGCAGGAATTTAAAAGGAAAGAAAATGTGTATAGGTAATAGAGGATAATTTCACTATATTAAAAAATACTAAGACATCAATAAAAGCTCATTTTTTAAAACTAATAAATTTTAAAGAGACAATGAGAGATTTTGTGTTGGGTTCTTATATATATTTATAGGAATTCTTAATTCTTATATTAATTCTTAATTAAGAATTCTTTTACATATAAGTATATATATAAACATATATATACGCATAAACATATATAAATATATATATATAAACATATATATAAACACACACACATACACACACACACACACACACACACACACACATACATATGACCCCAACACAAAATATCAAAATAATTCCCCTTATGTGGACTCTCTCAACAAAGTTTTGAGACGGTTTTTTGGTTTTGTTTGTTTGTTTGTTTGTTTGTTTGTTTGGTGGCTGGCCAGTATAGGGAACTGGACCATTGACCTTGGTCTTATCAGCACCACACTGTCCCAAGCAAGCTAACTGGGCAAGCCCTAGAAAGTATCTCATAATGATTAAAAAAAAAAGCAAAAGTATTTTTGAACATTCTTGTTGTGGTTTTTGTTATTATGCATTAAAAATATAACTGATGAAACTTCTAAAGAAAAAACACAGAAGAAATCTTTGTGAACTGGAGATAAGAAGAGTTTTTAAAAATGACACCAAAAGCATTGCTAACAAAAAAAAAATCAATAAATTGGGCTTCATTAAAATGAAAAACATTTGTGCTTCAGAGTGCATCATTAAGGAAGTGAAAAAGCAAGGCACACACTGGGAGAAAATAATTGCAAATTGTATACTTGATAATAGATTGGTATTGAGAATATAAAAAGTCTTACAACTCAACAAAAAGAAGACAAAAATCCTAATTAAATATGGACAAAAGATTTGAGTAATAGATATTTCACCAAAGAGGTCATGTGATTGGCTAACAAGTGCATAATAAAATACCAAACATCATTAGTTGTTAGAGAAATGCACACTAAAAACCACAATTACATACCATTATATATTCATAAGATTGACTATTATCAAATAGAAGACACAAAGTGTAGGTGGTGATGTGGCAAAGCTGGAACTATTATACATTTCCAATGGGAATATTCAGTGGTACATCTAGTTTGGAAAACATTTCGGCAGTTTCCTAAAAAGTTAAACATATCCTTACCACACAGCCCTGTAATTCCAATTCTAGGAATCAACAGAAGAGAATAAAAACATATGTCCAAAGAATTGTATGTTAATTTTCGCAGCAGCATTATTAATATAGTAGTCCAAAACTGGAAACAATCTGAATATGCATCAGTTTCAAAATGTGATATAGATGTGATGTATCCATATAATTAAATGTTATTTAGCAATAAAAAAGAACAAAATACTGATACATACTACAGAATGAATGAACCACAAAAATAATTATCCCAGGTGAAAGAAGCCACACAAAAGGAGCAAATCTCTATATTGTGTGATTCCATTTATATACATATCCACAAAAGGCAAATTTATAGAGACAGATAGAGCAGTGGTTGCCTGGGCTTGGGTTCGAAGCCAGGACTGAGTGCAAACAGGCTCAAGGGAATTTTTTGGAGTGATGAAAATGGTCTAAACCTGACCTGTGGGGATGGCTGCCAACTCTATAAGTTTATTAAAAATAATTTTATTACATATAGCTTAATAAAGTTGCATGGAAGAAAAATAAATAAATAAAATGTAACTTCAGGTATCTTGCCTAAATTTTCATACTAATTAAAACAATTCTTTATCAGGAATTTTTATGATATATCTTAATAAAAATGATTAGTTACAATGAAACAATCTACATCTGAAAAAAAAAAGAAATTTGATGGAAGAATCCAACCTATTCCCTTTCTTTTAACTGTAAAGTCATTAATTTGCAATTAGAACAAGCTGCCTATATTTGGGATGTTTATTTGGGAACTGCAATTCCATACTACTGTATATACTCTAGATGTAGGTAGCAAGCTATACACCATGGGATAAACCTGGCCCACTGCCTGTTTTTATAAAGATTATTTTATTGGAACAGAGCTATGCTCTCATTTATGTATTGTCTATAGCTGCTTTCACACTATAACAACTGAGCTGAATAGTTGTGAAAGAGACCATATGCCATGCTAAACCTAAAATACTTTACTATCTGGCCCTTTTAGAAAAAGTTTGCCAAATCTCCCTGGTTATTTGGTTCCATCTTACCAAGAATGGAGAAACAACACCTCAAGCATAATAAGATTAGTACCCTCCTAAAAATGTAATGTTGAAACCAATAGGATGGTTACTATAAATCATCAGAAAATCAAAAATAAGTCATTTCTTAATGATTTAAAGAAAGAATATTCCAAGGAAAACCTGATTATTTTTCCAAGTCGCACAAATCTATGTATTGAAAGTGTATAAATTTAAATATATATATATACCTACCCTACAATTTGATTAAAATACTTCCTGTAGCCATCTAAAGTTTCATGCTGCAACAAAGCAAAAAGAAAAAGTTATTTTTCTGTTTTGTTACATTAAGACAAAGTTAAAATCAGTTACTTAATCTCTTAAAGCTTAATTCCCTAGACTATAAAGTAAACATAATAACAGTGTTTACCTTATAGGATTACAATGAGGATGAATTGAGACAATACATATCTAATTCTTAGAACAATGCCTGATACACACCAATACTTAATGTTAGTTGATATTACTATTGCAAGTCACGTCCACCAAAAATGGTCTAAAAATGACAATAAACACACAAGTACACACACATGCACACACGTGTATGTGCAATCACACAAAATAATCAAAAGATAACAGCGGAGAAAAGTGAAAACCTGACAAAAATGAAAGTGATAATCCTACCATGTTAGATGGAGCTTGGAGCACCAAACGGGCCTATTTTCGCCTCTGTTTTCGGTAGTAGTTCTCAAATGTTTCTCGGGCACCCTGTAAAATAAACAAAAGGAAATGGGTCAACATAGTTGGGGCAATTATTCTTGTATTTCAAGGGAAAAGAGAAGTTCCCAGGTCTGGAATTTGAGGCAATACCATATTTCTTGAAATCTGCTATTCAAACAATGACAATAAGCACAGAAAATAAAAATAACTTTCACCATTTATTAAACCTTATTTACAAATCCTGTAAGGCTGGATATGAAAGATTCTTACAAAGAAACTACCAGAACTCAATCACCAGCACATCAAAGCTGGTTTCTGAATCAACTATTATGAATTCACAAGAATGAAGGCAAACCATTCTTCCCGTAGGTTATAATAACAGGTGAAAAAGAAGCTGGAAAAAGGCAGGTTCTGAGAAGAGGTCAGTCTTCCCAGATAGAACATAATCTAGCACAGGATTAAACCCCAAAAGGAAGAAACGAAAGAAATTCTTGATGCACAGTTTCCATTTTTCATTTAGGGTCCCTATGCTTAAAATAAGAGGTGCTCTAGAGAACAATATCAGGCTCATGAGCTCTGTACTGTGTTTAACAGTCTCCTCACAAAAATTCATGTCCTTCCAGGAACCTCAGAATGTGACCTTATTTGGAAATAAGGCTATTGCAGATGTAATAAATTAAATAATAAATTAAATTAAGATGTGGTCATACTAGTGTAGAGTGGGCCCTTAATACAAAATGACTGGTGTCCTTAAAAGAAGAGAGAAAAAAAAAAAAAACCCACAGAGATAGAGGCACATATGGAGAACACCGTGTGACAACAAAGGCAGAGATAAGAGCAATGCAGTTGCAAGCAGAATCTGGAAAGAGGCAAGGAAGGATTCTACCCGGAGTCTCAGAGGGAGTGTGGTCCTTCTGATGCCTTGATTTGGACTTCTAGACTCCAAAACAGGGATAGAATAAATTTGTTTTGTTTTGTTTTAAGTCATTCAGTTTGTAGTACTTTGTTACAGCAGCTCTAGGAAACTAATACAAACTCAAAGTTTTTAAAATATCACGCCCCACTTACTACTGAATTCTACTCTTAATCCAAGACTTTTCTAAATAAATAAGAGTGGAGAGGGAAAGACAGCATGCCATAGTGATAAAGAGCTCAGATTTTGGAATAGTGAATTTGCCCCTTCATAACTGTATTAATCCTATAAATAGCTGTATTACTTCTCTTCCACTAAGTTAAGTTCTATTATTTAACTACTTAATTTTCACTAATAGTTGTGCTGTTTTCTCATTTGTAGAGAAGCCAACCTTATATGGTTGTTATGAGAATTTAGAAGTTATTAAGCTCTTAGAACAACATCTGATAAATAATAAGCACTTATGAAAGTACTTATTGAAAAATAACTAAGAAGAAATCAGTGATGAATGTGAAAGCACTGCCCACCTACAAAAGTATAAGCTTCATGAAATACCTAATTCGGTTTCTTCTACCTTACAGAAAACTTGAAGAACTTTACTAAACATGATTTCTTTGTTAGAGTCCTAAATCAGCTCTAAGTTAGGAAAGTTGACTTAAGGTACTAAGTCATGCAAACACACTAGTGCAGCTCAGGGGTTGGCAAAAAATTTCTGTAAAGGGCAGGACAATACATATTTTTCATTTGGTAGGCAGCTACTCAAATCTGCAGTGTAGCACAAAAGCAACCACAGACAATACATAAATGAGTAAGTGTAACTATGCCCCAATAAAACCTTATTTATGAAAACTAAAATTAGAATTATATATAATTTTTACCTGTCATGAAATATTATTTTTTTGACTTGAAAAATGTAAAAATCATTTTTAGTTCACAGGTCATACAGAAACAGGCAGCAGGCTGGATATGGCCCATGGGTCATGGTTTGTTGAACCCTGGTATAGCTTAAAAACAAAGGTTTTAAAATGCTAAAATGATTATAATTGCATACACCTGAGTTTTTCTATCTATAAAATAAAATCAAACATTAGGACAGCTATTTCAAGGTCTTTCTTAGTCCATAAGTTAATGAGGAAGGAAATGATCTGTTTAAGAAATAAGAAGTTGAAACTGCTAGTCGGTTTGTTAAAGTTATTCCCCACTTGTCACCATTTCACAGCACAGTGGTGTTATTAAACGTCAGTTACATTCTGTACACACTGAAGGGCTTCTTATTTTAAGGTTAACAGCAGCCCTAAAAGACCTTTATTATTCTAGTGTGATGTTACTTATTCAACATGCTTTGGAGCCAAGATATACTTACCTGAGAATTTAGGGAAAGCCTTCTCTCTAATTAGACCATAATTACACTAATTTAATTTTTTTCTTATAAAAGATAGATGACATTCTATATAAAAACCAAATCATCAACCTCTACTTAATTCTAAATTAAATACAGCGTTGCCTTTCAAATATTCCTTCATCAGAATAAAAACAAAAGAAAAGAACAATTTATATAACAGGTCTGGCCTCCCCATTTACAAAAATGAGCTGGATTTTCCTTTGTGGCTACTAAATAAATTCACCTTTGATTATTCTATTTCCTCTGTCAATTTTGTCAAGTCAATGCTTAAAGGTGGAATTTGAGAAGTATATGTTTGACCAGTCCAGTTGAGTAACTGGTGAAGTGACTGTCTATTCAAAATTAGGTCACTAGATAAACTATAGAAGTTTCACTTCAGCTCCAAGCTCTCTCAGTCACTAACATAAAACAAACAAGCAAAAAAACCTCAAAAGCAGGTGAAGGCATAAGCAAATTGACAAAACTTCAAAAGCAGGTGAAGGCATAAGCAAATTGATATAAAACACTGGATAAACAAGTGAAAGGTTGCTTTTCCCCATTTTATGTCATTAATACTACATTGCTCCAAAGGTTTTGTGATAATTAATATACACAATATCACAGTAAAACAAGTGAATTAATATATTCTAAATGCGTACCACATGATACGCACTGAGAATGGTCCCGTCTTCACTGAATTTATAGTGTACAGTGGGAGACTGGCACTTAAAGAAGCAATTATATTAAAATGAACTAGAGAACCCTATGGATTGTAGTATGTGTTTTTTGAGAGAGAGAGACAGAGAGAGAGAGAGAGAAAATGCATGTGTTTGTACGTGTGTAGTGAGTGGGGGAAGTGTCAGAGAAAGCTTTCCAAAAAAAAAAAAAAAAAAAAAAAAAAGGACATTTATACTCCTACTTGAAGAATGAGTCAGAAGAGTAAGGCAGGTAAGAGAAAGGCAAAGAACTTTCCTACTAGAGACAAAGAGGTTCAAAGACAAAAAGGCATCACACATCCCATGAATTTGGAAGAAGTTCTCTATGGCTAGAACAACATGATATAAGGTATAGGGATAACTAGAGTTTATGAAAACTAAAATTAGAATTATATATAATTTTTACCAGTCATGAAATATTATTCTTTTGACTTGAAAAATGTAAAAATCATTTTTAGTTCACAGGTCATACAGAAACAGGCAGCAGGCTGGATATGGCCCATGGGTCATGGTTTGTTGAACCCTGGTATAGCTTAAAAACAAACGTTTTAAAATGCTAAAATGATTATAATTGCATACACCTGAGTTTTTCTATCTATAAAATAAAATCAAACATTAGGACAGCTATTTCAAGGTCTTTCTTAGTCCATAAGTTAATGAGGAAAGAAATGATCTGTTTAAGAAATAAGAAGTTGAAACTGCTAGTCGGTTTGTTAAAGTTATTCCCCACTTGTCACCATTTCACAGCACAGTGGTGTTATTAAACGTCAGTTACATTCTGTACACACTGAAGGGCTTCTTATTTTAAGGTGGACAGTAAAATAAAGAAAGGAAAGTTAGATTTTAAAAGATCAGTCAGAATCTGAGATGTATTTAGGAGATACAATTCAGTAATTGATTGGATATGGGTGATAAAGCTTTGGAAGAAAAAATGGCTGATGTGAGGTTTATAATCTGGGTAATTGGTTTGATAGTGGTGTCATTTAATGAGGGAGGGAACATAAGAGAAGGAATATACAGTTGATCTTCATTTTTCACGGATTCTGTATTTGCAAATTGGCTTACTCACTAAAATTCATTTGTAACTCCAAAATCAATGCTCATAGCTCTTTCATGATCATTCATAGACATGTGCAGAGTGCTGAATAATTTGAGTTGCCCACTGCACATGTTGCCAGCTAAGGTCAAACAAAGCAGCAGTCTGCCTTCTTGTTTCAGATATCATAGTATAAACAAGTATTGTTTTCAGTCTGCCCAGTGCCATGTTTTTTGCATTTTTGTGCTTTTTGTTGGTCATTTTGCTATTTAAAATGGCCTCCAACCATAGTACTGAAGTGCTGTCATAGTGTTCCTAAACTCAACAAGGCTGTGATATGCCTTACAGAAAAAACACGAGTTAGATAAGCAAATAACCTTTATTCAGTCATGAGCACAGTGCTGCTGGCTGTGAATTAAATGTTAATAAATCAAAAATACATATTAAATAAGGTATGTTAAAACAGAAACACACATAACCAAAGGTTATGCATTGGTCAGTTGCTAAAAATGTGACCAGAAATTCAAAGGAAACCAACTCTATATATCCTCTAGATGCAGTGATTCAGTATTTACCAACTCAGTGTTCACAGTGACTTTACAGAAAATATGACCATGAAAAATGAGAATTGACTATATTTGGGAAGACTGGTGATGATGACTTCTATTCTAGACATATTTAGTCCCCCCCTTCCAATTGCCATGTGTTCAGGAGCTGGCATATTTGGGTCTACAGCTCAGGAGAAAGGGATAGGCTAAAGACAACAAATATCAGAATCATTAGCAGAGACATAGTAATCAAAACTCTAGGAGAAAAGGAGATAATCTAAGAAACACCTGTAGAATGAAAGTACAAAAGGACCTAGAACAAAAAACCCAAGGAACACCAACAATTAGGAAATGCTGGTATATCTACACAATGGAATACTATGCTGCTATAAAAAAGAGTGAAATACTGCCATTTGCAATGACATGGATGGACCTAGAGAGAATTATATTATGTGA